AAATTCATAGGCCGATGCGGCTTCTCCGAAGCAAGAGGCTTAAACTTTTTGTCCAAGCCTCCTACCTGGCTGAGAAAATTTCATAGGCCGATGCGGCTTCTCCGAAGCAAGAGGCTTAAACTTTTTGTTCAAGCCTCCAACCTGGCTGAGAAAAATTCATAGGCCGATGCGGCTTCTCCGAAGCAAGAGGCTTAAACTTTTTGTCCAAGCCTCCTACCTGGCTGAGAAAATTTCATAGGCCGATGTGGCTTCTCCGAAGCAAGAGGCTTAAACTTTTTGTCCAAGCCTCCGACCTGGCTGAGAAAAATTCATTGGCCGATGCGGCTTCTCCGAAGCAGGGGCTTAAACTTTTTGTCCAAGCCTCCTACCTGGCTGAGAAAAATTCATTGGCCGATGCGGCTTCTCCGAAGCAGGGGCTTAAACTTTTTGTCCAAGCCTCCTACCTGGCTGAGAAAATTTCATAGGCCGATGCGGCTTCTCCGAAGCAAGAAAGAGGCTTAAACTTTTTGTCCAAGCCTCTTACCTGGCTGAGAAAAATTCATAGGCCGATGCGGCTTCTCCGAAGCATGAGGCTTAAACTTTTTGTCCAAGCCTCCTACCAGGCTGAGAAAAAATCATAGCCCGATGCGGCTTCTCCGAAGCAGGAGGCTTAAACTTTTTGTCCAAGCCTCCTACCAGGCTGAGAAAATTTCATAGGCCGATGCGGCTTCTCCGAAGCAAGAGGCTTAAACTTTTTGTCCAAGCCTCCTACCTGGCTGAGAAAAATTCATAGGCCCATGCGGCTTCTCTGAAGCAAGAGGCTTAAACGTTTTGTCCAAGCCTCCTATCTGGCTGAGAAAAATTCATAGGCCCATGCGGCTTCTCCGAAGCAAGAGGCTTAAACTTTTTGTCCAAGCCTCCTACCTGGCTGAGAAAAATTCATAGGCCCATACGGCTTCTCCGAAGCAAGAGGCTAAAACATTTTGTCCAAGCCTCCTACCAGGCTGAGAAAATTTCATAGGCCGATGCGGCTACTCCGAAGCAAGCGGCTTAAACTTTTCGTCCAAGCCTCCTACCAGGCTGAGAAAATTTCATAGGCCGATGCGGCTTCTCCGAAGCAAGAGGCTTAAACTTTTCGTCCAAGCCTCCTACCTGGCTGAGAAAAATTCATAGGCCGATGCGGCTTCTCCGAAGCAAGAGGCTTAAACTTTTTGTCCAAGCCTCCTACCAGGCTGAGAAAATTGCATAGGCCGATGCGGCTTCTCCGATGCAAGAGGCTAAAACTTTTTGTCCAAGCCTCCTACCTGACTGCGAAAAATTCATAGGCCGATGCGGCTTCTCCGAGGCAGGGGCTTAAACTTTTTGTCCAAGCCTCCTACCTGGCTGAGAAAATTTCATAGGCCGATGCGGCTCCTCCGAAGCAAGAGGCTTAAACTTTTTGTCCAAGCCTCCTACCTGGCTGAGAAAAATTCATAGGCCCATGCGGCTTCTCCGAAGCAAGAGGCTTAAACTTTTTGTCCAAGCCTCCTACCTGGCTGAGAAAATTTCATAGGCCGATGCGGCTTCTCCGAAGCAAGAGGCTTAAACATTTTGTCCAAGCCTCCTACCAGGCTGAGAAAATTTCATAGGCCGATGCGGCTTCTCCGAAGCAAGAGGCTTAAACTTTTTGTCCAAGCCTCCAACCTGGCTGAGAAAATTTCATAGGCCGATGCGGCTTCTCCGAAGCAAGAGGCTTAAACTTTTTGTCCAAGCCTCCTACCAGGCTGAGAAAATTTCATACGCCGATGCGGCTTCTCCGAAGCAAGAGGCTTAAACTTTTTGTCCAAGCCTCCTACCAGGTTCAGAAAATTTCATAGGCCGATGCAGCTTCTCCGAAGCAAGAGGCTTAAACTTTTTGTCCAAGCCTCCGACCAGGCTGAGAAAATTTCATAGGCCGATGCGGCTTCTCCGAAGCAAGAGGCTTAAACTTTTTGTCCAAGCCTCCGACCAGGCTGAGGAAATTTCATAGGCCGATGCGGCTGCTCCGAAGCAAGAGGCTTAAACTTTTTGTCCAAGCCTCCGACCTGGCTGAGAAAAATTCATAGGCCGATGCGGCTTCTCCGAAGCAGGGGATTAAACTGTTTGTCCAAGCCTCCTACCTGGCTGAGAAAAATTCATAGGCCGATGCGGCTTCTCCGAAGCAGGGGCTTAAACTTTTTGTCCAAGCCTCCTACCTGGCTGAGAAAATTTCATAGGCCGATGCGGCTTCTCCGAAGCAGGGGCTTAAACTTTTTGTCCAAGCCTCCTACCAGGCTGAGAAAAATTCATAGGCCGATGCGGCTTCTCCGAAGCAAGAGGCTTAAACTTTTTGTCCAAGCCTCCTACCTGGCTGAGAAAAATTCATAGGCCGATGCGGCTTCTCCGAAGCAGGGGCTTAAACTTTTTGTCCAAGCCTCCCACCTGGCTGAGAAAAATTCATAGGCCGATGCGGCTTCTCCGAAGCAGGGGCTTAAACTTTTTGTCCAAGCCTCCTACCAGGCTGAGAAAATTTCATAGGCCGATGCGGCTTCTCCGAAGCAAGAGGCTTAAACTTTTTGTCCAAGCCTCCAACCAGGCTGAGAAAATTTCATAGGCCGATGCGGCTTCTCCGAAGCAAGAGGCTTAAACTTTTTGTCCAAGCCTCCTACCAGGCTGAGAAAATTTCATAGGCCGATGCGGCTTCTCCGAAGCAAGAGGCTTAAACTTTTTGTCCAAGCCTCCTACCAGGCTGAGAAAATTTCATAGGCCGATGCGGCTTCTCCGAAGCAAGAAAGAGGCTTAAACTTTTTGTCCAAGCCTCTTACCTGGCTGAGAAAAATTCGTAGGCCGATGCGGCTTCTCCGAAGCATGAGGCTTAAACTTTTTGTCCAAGCCTCCTACCAGGCTGAGAAAAATTCATAGGCCGATGCGGCTTCTCCGAAGCAAGAGGCTTAAACTTTTTGTCCAAGCCTCCTACCAGGCTGAGAAAATTTCATAGGCCGATGCGGCTTCTCCGAAGCAAGAGGCTTAAACTTTTTGTCCAAGCCTCCTACCTGGCTGAGAAAAATTCATAGGCCCATACGGCTTCTCCGAAGCAAGAGGCTTAAACTTTTTGTCCAAGCCTCCTATCTGGCTGAAAAAAATTCATAGGCCCATGCGGCTTCTCCGAAGCAAGAGGCTTAAACTTTTTGTCCAAGCCTCCTACCTGGCTGAGAAAAATTCATAGGCCCATACGGCTTCTCCGAAGCAAGAGGCTAAAACATTTTGTCCAAGCCTCCTACCAGGCTGAGAAAATTTCATAGGCCGATGCGGCTACTCCGAAGCAAGAGGCTTAAACTCTTCGTCCAAGCCTCCTACCAGGCTGAGAAAATTTCATAGGCCGATGCGGCTTCTCCGAAGCAAGAGGCTTAAACTTTTTGTCCAAGCCTCCAACCTGGCTGAGAAAAATTCATAGGCCGATGCGGCTTCTCCGAAGCAAGAGGCTTAAACTTTTTGTCCAAGCCTCCTACCAGGCTGAGAAAATTTCATACCCCGATGCGGCTTCTCCGAAGCAAGAGGCTTAAACTTTTTGTCCAAGCCTCCTACCAGGCTCAGAAAATTTAATAGGCCGATACGGCTTCTCCGAAGCAAGAGGCTTAAACTTTTTGTCCAAGCCTCCGACCAGGCTGAGAAAATTTCATAGGCCGATGCGGCTTCTCCGAAGCAAGAGGCTTAAACTTTTTGTCCAAGCCTCCGACCAGGCTGAGAAAATTTCATAGGCCGATGCGGCTTCTCCGAAGCAAGAGGCTTAAACTTTTTGTCCAAGCCTCCTACCTGGCTGAGAAAAATGCATAGGCCCATGCGGCTTCTCCGAAGCAAGAGGCTTAAACATTTTGTCCAAGCCTCCTACCAGGCTGAGAAAATTTCATAGGCCGATGCGGCTTCTCCGAAGCAAGAGGCTTAAACATTTTGTCCAAGCCTCCTACCAGGCTGAGAAAATTTCATAGGCCGATGCGGCTTCTCCGAAGCAAGAGGCTTAAACTTTTTGTCCAAGCCTCCAACATGGCTGAGAAAAATTCATAGGCCGATGCGGCTTCTCCGAAGCAGGGGCTTAAACTTTTTGTCCAAGCCTCCTACCTGGCTGAGAAAATTTCATAGGCCGATGCGGCTTCTCCGAAGCAGGGGCTTAAACTTTTTGTCCAAGCCTCCTACCAGGCTGAGAAAAATTCATAGGCCGATGCGGCTTCTCCGAAGCAAGAGGCTTAAACTTTTTGTCCAAGCCTCCTACCTGGCTGAGAAAAATTCATAGGCCGATGCGGCTTCTCCGAAGTAAGAGGCTTAAACTTTTTGTCCAAGCCTCCTACCTGGCTGAGAAAATTTCATAGGCCAATGCGGCTCCTCCGAAGCAAGAGGTTTAAACTTTTTGTCCAAGCCTCCTACTAGGCTGAGAAAATTTCATAGGCCAATGCGGCTCCTCCGAAGCAAGAGGTTTAAACTTTTTGTCCAAGCCTCCTACCAGGCTGAGAAAAATTCATAGGCCGATGCGGCTTCTCCGAAGCAAGAGGCTTAAACTTTTTCTCCAAGCCTCCTACCTGGCTGAGAAAATTTCATAGGCCGATGCGGCTTCTCCGAAGCAAGAGGCTTAAACTTTTTGTCCAAGCCTCCGACCTGGCTGAGAAAAATTCATAGGCAGATGCGGCTTCTCCGAAGCAAGAGGCTTAAACTTTTTGTCCAAGCCTCCTACCAGGCTGAGAAAATTTCATAGGCCGATGCGGCTCCTCCGAAGCAAGAGGCTTAAACTTTTTGTCCAAGCCTCCAACCTGGCTGAGAAAAATTCATAGGCCGATGCGGCTTCTCCGAAGCAAGAGGCTTAAACTTTTTGTCCAAGCCTCCTACCAGGCTGAGAAAATTTCATAGGCCGATGCGGCTTCTCCGAAGCAAGAGGCTTAAACTTTTTGTCCAAGCCTCCTACCTGGCTGAGAAAAATTCATAGGCCGATGCGGCTTCTCCGAAGCAGGGGCTTAAACTTTTTGTCCAAGTTTTGTACTGTAATTTTTGGTGTTTTGTACAGTACGGGGGTACTTGTAGTTCTTTCTTTCACTTATTGTTAAACCGAACAACAGAAACGACACTAGGTCTTTGGTTGCTGGCTGAAATGTATAAGTAAAACTTTTATAAGTTCAAATACTTTATTCTGGATGCGCACATAAAATCAGTGCGGCATCCAGGGACGCATAGCTTTTTATACCAGATTAAGAATTAAAACATTTGACCAATGAAATAAAAGAATCTTAATTGTTTCCAAGACAAAGTATATTTTTATCGTGTCAGTAAATAATTTAAACTCTCAATCCCCTAAAGGTATGGCCTGAGCTTATGGTTATGTAACACAATGGGACTTAATTGTCTGTTTCCTTATTATCAGGTCTTACAAAAATGAAAGAGATAAATAGATTTATTAATCCCTTTTGTTCTTTTTGACCAAAAGCTTTTTACACTTTGTTACAAACAAGAATTTGAGCTATTAAAATGATTTATAGAATTTTGACTATTAATAAAAAAAGAAATATAATATTTTCATTAATCAAATTTTAGAAAGATATAAATTTCAAAGCTAAATTATGAGAAACAATTTCTTGATGAAATTGTTATTTACTGGATTATAAACTATAAAACTTTATTTACAAAATGTACAAATACACACTATGACAATTCTCCCTTGCTACCTTTGCTTTGGACCCCAAAGCTAAATTATGAAAGAAAGGTGTTTTAACGTTTGAGTTCTATTTAGATGGTATGGGTTTAAGACTGTGACGATGTCGCGCGACTTATAGATGTTATTTAACCCGAAATAGTACCTTACTGATTTAAAACAGTCTTCCTAACACGATTTATCTTTCCTTTAATTTTCCTAAAAAACATACTACAAAAATATGAAAATTAACATTCAATAAAACATATATATATATATATATACATAATAAAATATGACATTATATGGTATAAGCAATTGTGGTGTACTGTGGATCAAGGTATTCAAATTATAAAATGTTTTATCAATATGCAATCACTGAAAAATTGACATTTACAATTGTGGATACAAAGTGTTGATTTTGTTATCCTCTTTTATTTGATCTTGACCAGGTAATATTGTACAATATCCATTGTGAACAATCATAACATATGCACAAAATGGTTGACGTAATATTTTACGTAATTTATACCATGTTTGAAAATTTAGACGAATGCTTGTTGGAACTGATATTGACTGAGAGGTTAATTTGTTTGTGACATTAAAATCTGTCCAAGTTGCAAAAAGTTTACAAGATGGAAAAGTGGAAATACTGACACGGTTTATAATAGGAGTATCAATATTCCAATAAGATGGACACAGAGATAATGAGAGTATATGCACAATGACACATTGACCTCCACATGTTATTTCAACAGCCAAACTTGTTCCAGACTTTTGTTTGTTGCTTTTATATATACACGCAATTATAATAATGAGAATGAATAAAACAATTATGCTTAGTAAAACAGAAGCATGTACCCATGAAAATTCATTTGTTATATAAGACATGAAATCTGTAGTATTCTCACTATTTATCTTAGTTACTTTTTCATTATAAATGAATGACGGTACAGTTTGAGCTTTTACATTTGAGACCTGTTTTAAAATAAGCATTGCAATGGCCATTTTGCGAACCTTGAAAAATAAATAGATACATGTTATGAATGATAAACCTCCTATTGTAAGAGCCACAAAAATTAAAATTGCGTTAAGATCTGGCCACTCACTATTGAGGCTGATGTCACCTGTTATCAATGGTTCTGTCAAAGTTTTAAAAATTTGTTCATCTTTTTTAGCTGCTTGAGCCATTTTTCTGAGACTTAGATGATCTTGTTTGTCTGCGACTAGTATGTTTGACATGTTGTGTGAATAAATTTTAAAATTAGGTACTTTTAGTGCAACTTGTGATGGAAATGTTGTGTCACCTAATATGTTGTTTAGTTTAGTTTGGTCAAAGAACTCTGTTAATAATGCCAAATTTACTGGGTGTAATACTGAAAGTGCAGAACTTGTATTTGTGTCTAACATTGTTTTTTCATCATAACAATTGATTAGTTTAGGAGCAAAATAAAGTTTGTGTGATGATATGTAGCATCTACAAGGTACATGCACAATGCAAAGAGGACAAGGAGGGATGACATGACTGTTATCAGGACATTTAAGTGTTAAGTCGTTGTTACTTTTGTAAACTAGGACAGAGGTTGGTGTTAATTCTATAACCTTGTGAACTATGTGATCAAGCAAAAATCTGAAGTTGCACAACTGTTTTACCATTGTTATATTATTAGAGAACAAAGCTATAATGCAACTGGGTTGGTTAATTGGTGTAAGTTGTATATTAGTATAACAAAATAGTGTCATGCCATGTTTACAGTTAGCAAGGTCGTCAGTGGACAGTGCAGCATAAAAATCATTGTTATTGGTGATGGCAAAATATTTAGGTAATGACATTAGTTTAGTAGCGTGAGAGGAAGTGCTATTAACTGGGACTGGTAAAGAATAAACTTTGAACAAGTTTAAGGGTTTAGCATGTGCAGAAATAGGAAATTTAACAGTTATATACATTCTGGAGTGATTACGTGCATATACAAAATTAGAATGAGTATAATAATAAGAAGGATCAAAATGCGTTAGGTGAAATCCAGGATATGATTCCGACATGATTCGCTGGATTTTATGCAGAGAATGTGCTAGTATGTGCTTTGGTAATAAAAAAGGTGAGATTCGACCTTCAGCCAAGCTTTGAATACTTGATTGTAGCTGATTTAGGTTTTCTCTCAGAATGTTAGCATTATTTACTAAGGTTATTAATATTTTTGATATATTAGTCATGGAATGCTGAAGAGAAGTCAATGAGTTATAAAATTTGTATGTAATTTGTTTTATTTGTGCTGCATTTGTTTTCACACCGTTCATTAGATTATTTGTTCTGTTGTCTATTAAGGTCATGAACGATGAGAAATGTGAACCATGTTGCTGAAGTACATTGGCCATAACACGAGATCTTTTGTTTAGTTCATTTATGTGTCTGGCTAACAGGTGAACATCACTCATTGTGGCCAAACCAAAAATACCTTTGGCCATAGAGCCAATGAAAGGTAGAAGTGATCTTTCGCTTCTTTTGTTATAAAAATATTCAGTTTGTGGTACCAATGTATGAATAGCTTTGATAGTTTCAAATAATTGTGATTCAGTCGAATCATGCAATGAGTGGATAAAATTTACCATACTATTTACTGTACTACATTCATTATTATTGTCAATACAAAATGACATTCTTGGCAAGTTCACACTTTGGGGTAATTCTACTTCAAATGTATGCAACCAAGCTTCTGATGACATATACAGGAATGATTCTTGTTTAAATATTACTCCATAATTAATTCTTTGTATTACATTCATCTTTTCTTCATTTGTCTTTGCTGTTACTGGTTTGATCACTAGACATGTTATAAGGACCATGATTGCCAAAGTTACAGTATGATGAATGTTCCCAAATTTACCTACAAAGAGACAAAGGAAAAAAAAAATTAATGTGATGCCAGTCGGGATGAATACACACCAGCTGTAATGTGTACTCTAGCACTATTTTCATACAGAACCCTGTACTTTGTTGACCACATCACATTGACCTTAAAGCAAATTTTTGATAATTAAAAAAAATTTAATGTTCCGAAATGTAATAAATAAAAGGCGCCTGGATCATTCAACAATACTTTAACAATGACATTTCATTTAACTATTTAGTTTGGGTCAACATGTCTAGTACACCAATCAAACAAGTAATATATATCTCAATTTAAATCATTTCTTTTTCTTTTGTATCTTTTATTTTGCATTCGGACATATCGAATGTATATATATTTCTTTTTTTTTTATGTTTGTTTTATTATTTATTTTCTATATTCCTGTATACTCATACATAATTTTTTTTTTTTAATGTCTTTTTTTCTTAAAGAGTGTACGTTTTTTAGTTCCATGCTTTGTAAATTTTGAATCAATATATGCAAGAGTATCACTATCAAAGCTTTCATTTGGTTCCCACGTTCTTGTTCCATCACGCCACTCAATGCGTATTAGTCTTTTTCCATTTCTAAATTTACCTTTGATTGCATCTTTAAAAATATATTTTTTATTTTTTTCATTATCTCTTGTTTGTTGCGACTGAGGGTCTGGTTCTGGCACATTTGCTTGTGGGTTTGGGGGTTTATCTTGTATGGGGGGGGGTTCAGGTTGTGTATGAGCATCAACATTGATATTTGAGTCATTATTTGCTTGTGAATTTCCAATATCATCATTTATTTCTCCTTCTTGTGATGAGACTTCATCACTTTCATCACTTTCCTCCTGAGCTCTAAGAACTGCAGGATTATTATAATGCTTCAAATGGCAGGCATTTATCATAGATTTGTGAGGCTTATTATTTCTTGTGTCTATCAATTTATAAGTATAGTTTTCACCAACGTACTGAATGCGGTAAGGACCTTCAAATTTGTCATATAATTTTCGAGACACACCAACAGGGACTTTATTGATGGCTTTGAGTACCAAATCACCAGCTTCAAAATCTGGTATTTTTGCTTTTTGATCATGTCTCTCTTTGTCATATGCTTTATGACGTTTGTCATTTTCTTTTGCAATTTCATGGACAATTTCAAGGTTTGACTGAATTTCTTTTATATGATCTTTAGTTGCTTGACTTAAATTGTCTTTTGGAATTAAAGCAATATCAAAGGGAAGTTTCATTTCTTGGCCAAAGACCATATAATAAGGTGAAAATTCAGTTGTATTTGATGCCGGAGATTTTCTAATTGCCATCATGACACTTTGCAAATGCAAGGGCCATAGATTTTGGTCCTTACCACAATAAGTACGAATTGTTTGCGCTATTGTAGAGTTTTGGCGCTCGACCAAACCATTTGTTTGTGGGTGATATGATGAGGTATGATGTTGAGTTATTTGAAAAATTTCACATAGCCCATTAACAATATGAGACATAAAAGATCGACCTCTATCTGAAAATAAAATTCTTGGTGCGCCATAGCGACAAATGATTTGGTCATAAATAACTCTAGCTATCTCTTTTGCTCCCTGAGTTTTTAGAGGAAAGGCTTCAGTCCAGCGACTAAATGCATCAATGAGCAGCAGCACGTAGGAATAACCCTCAGGACTTTTTGTGAGGGGTCCTAAAATGTCAATTTGCCATCTTTCAAATCTTTTGACAGGGGGCATTGTACCTAAAGGTGGGTTAAATTTGTTATAATTGCGCTTTGCCATTTGGCAGCGATTGCAAGTTTTCACATACGTTTCTACATCAGCATATATGGTTGGCCACCAATATTTCAAACGTATTGATTCATGTACCTTATCTATGCCTAAATGACCGCCTCCTGCAAGAGAGTCATGATAAGAGCGCAGAACATCATTGCGTAAAACCTTAGGTATACAAAGCTGTTTTGTATACTTTTGGTTTTCATCAAGTTTCTTGGAACGGCGCTGATCAAAATGAAACAAAATACCACTTAATATTTGGTAGCGCTCAGATTCAAAAACTGCTTTTCTTGCCATTTTGTCCTCATTAGGTAAATCATCTGTTAAGAGGTATTCTAAAATAGGTTTAAAATCTGGACAATCTTTCTGCATCTGAAATAAATGTTCTTTATCATTTACTGCTTCGTCAATATCGTCTTCAGTTACAGGTGCAACAAAAGCTACTGGATCATCTGGATAAATGAATTCAACATAAATTCTTTCATCTGAGTAACTTAGCAATTGTTTGGAACAATTCTCTATTTCTGAAACAGAAGAAATTTTAGTATTGTGTTGATCACTGGTTTCTATGTCTACCTCATGTGATCTTGGACCTTTTGTTTTCTTCTCATTGGAGAGTTGTTGATCCTCTGAAATAAAGAATATATCTTCTTCCATTTGTCCAGATTCTGAAAGGGAAGAATCTTTTTCATTAGCATTATTGTATTCACGCCTGCTGAGAGCGTCAGCCACTGAATTTGTTTTGCCTTCTTTGTAAATTACATCAAATTTATATGGTTGCAATGCTAAAGCCCATCTGCCAATACGCGCGCTAGGATTTTTAACATTGTTTAACCAACATAATGCTTTATGATCAGTTTGCACAGTAAATCTTGCACTTGATAAATATGGGTGGTATGCTTGAATACCACAAATAATTGCTAGACACTCTTTTTCTGTGGTTGTCCAGTTGCGCTCACAAGTTTTTAAAGACCTGCCCCCATATGCAATAGGATGCTCATTTCCCTCACAATCTTTTTGACTTAAAACATAGCCAATGGCAGTGTCAGAAGCATCACAAGTTAAGGTAAAAGGTTCAGTACTTTTGGGGAAAGCTAAAATTGGAGCTTCTAAAAGTTTTTGTTTTAAGTTTTCAAAGGATCTTTGACATTCTTCTGTCCAAATAAACTTTTTATTGTCTTTAGTCAATAGAGCATTCAAAGGGGTGGCAATTCTAGAGAAGTTGGGAACAAACTTGCGATAATAATTTGCCATACCTAGAAAACTTTTTACATTTGTTTGAGTCTTTGGAATAGGGAATTCACTAACTGCTGTGGTTTTCTCTGGATCTACTTCCACACCATTTTTTGAAATAAAATGACCAAGAAATTTCAACCTTTTCACAGCAAAATGACATTTTTTTGGTTGTAATCTTAAATTGAACTTGTCCAATCTTTCAAAAACTTGGGATAAATGTTCCAAATGTTGGTCAAAATTCTCACTGAAGATCAGTATATCATCTACATACACAAGGACTGATTTCCAATTCATTTCTCTAAGTATTGAAGTCATTAATGTTTGAAATGAGACTGGGGAATTTGCTAAACCATAAGGTAGTCGTTTCCATTCATAAATGCCATTTTGTGTGATAAATGCAGCCTTATGTTTTGTTTCTTGGTCTAATGGAATTTGCCAAAAACTACTTTTAAGGTCGACACAACTAAATACTCTAGATTTCATTTCGCCAATTGTGTCGAACACACTTTCTAGCCTTGGTAATGGAAAGTTCATAGGAATTGTGATAAGGTTCAATTTCCTATAATCTATCGCGAACCTTAGCTCAGATGAGTTTTTCTTGGCCACTAAAATAACTGGTGAATGCCAAACTGAATTTGATGGTTCTATTATACCATTCTTTTCCATCTCATCAACTTGTTTGTTTATTTCTGTTTGTTGTTTATGAGATGTCCTATAAAAGGGTAAACTAACTGGCGATGCGCCTGGAATTGTTTCAATTCTATGGAAGTATGCATTTGTAACACCTAACTCACTAAGATCATTTGCAAAAATATGCTTGTAAGTCTTGAGTAATTTTAGAAGTTTTTGCTTTTGACTTTCATTTAAATCTGAATGTTCAAGATCAAAATCATGACAAAATTTTTCTTTAGTTTTACATTTATGTTCTTTTTGTTTTGTTGCTTTTTGCATTTCTAAGTCATTTAGTTCTTGAGGTTCAAATGGTAAAATATCAGCATCACTGACATTGTAAACTTGTGCTAATATTTCTCTCCTTTTTAACAAGATGTCAGAGTTTGTTGGGTTTAGAAGTTTCAAAAAAGCTTTACCTTTGTGTACAGTCACAACACATTTTGCACCAATCAAGTGTTTGAGTGTTAATGTAGGCCTTGGTTCCAATAAAACTTGGTCACCGTTTTTGAATTTTGAAATAGATATAGTAATGATTGATTCAGACTTTTTTGGAATGGTAACTGCTTCTGTTGTTCTAGCTAAACCAAATATTTCTTTTATTTGACTCACAAGAGCCTCATTTCCATCACTTAAATATAATGTTTTGTTACCACAATCAATTTTACCATTAAAATGATTGATAAAATCAAAGCCTAAAATCAATGAATGATGAACATTTTCAACTACATTTAATGGGTATTTAAATATTTTCCCATCAATCATGATGTCTACTTCAATTTTGCCCAAAACATTTAACTTTTGCCCACTCACTCCTTTTATTTTTAAATAGGTTGGCGGTTTAAGCCTATCTTGAGCATACCCAGTTTTGTCTAACAATTCTTTGTTTATAATGCTTATGGAAGCCCCTGTGTCAATGAGCCCATGTGTTTTTCTTTTGTCTATTATGACATCAATAGTATTTTGTTGCAGAGGAGTTGTAAAGCCAACTTCTGCACAATCATTATCTCTGTGCCTATCTATAGTCAAATGCCTATGGATAGGCGCGAATCCCTAAAATCTACGAGGTTTATCTTTGTTCCAACAAGCATTATATATGTGACCTTGTAATTTACAGTGATTGCATATCTTAAATTTAGCAAAACAAGTTTTAGGTGATCCACAGCACTTACCACATCTATGACATTGTTGACTGTTCATGTAAGGTCTTTGTTGTTGATTTCTCTGTTGTTGATACTGGTTCTGTTGTTGTTGTGGGTACTGGTTTTGCTGTTGTTGTGGGTACTGGTTCTGCTGCTGTTGTTGGTATGGCCTCTGTTGTTGGTAGGAATTTTGTTGTTGATAATTAGACCTCTGTTGCTGTTGGTATGGCCTTTGTTGTTGTTGACTATTATTTTGTTGTCCATTATTTTGGTATGAATTTCCAGAAACAGCGGCTATGACTGCATCATTTTCAAGTCTGATTTGTTCCAATTTTGAGTCTAGGTGTTGTGTGATGTAACTCACTGAGGCATGAAAATCACTGTCTTGTTCCTTGCTTGTTACACGTAGGGTAGTTTCTGCCAAATTCGCTTTTACCCTTAGATCTTCTATGTTGGTTGGACTTTGAGGCATGACAATCCTAGCAATAGCAGCTCTCAGACCTCTCATGGCTTTTGTCATTAGTTGGATCTCCTGCAGGTTTGCATCTGCACACATTTTCATTACACGGTGAATATAATCATCAACACTCTCTGACTTTTCTTGTTCAACTTGAAGCATTTCAACCGTTAGAGGTGTTGGCTTGAATCTTGTGTACAAAAGTTCTTGCAGTCTATTTAGGGTGACTACTTGTTCATTAAGGCTTAGGAACCATTGCTGTGCCTTGTCTGCTAAAAAGTGTGGAAATGACTGTACAATTGTTTGTTCTGAACAATTCATGATATTCATGTATATCATGAAAGATTTGAACCACTGAACCACTGAACTATTTCCATCAAAAGGCTTGATCGGATGGATGTGAGGTTTGTTTTGATGATTAATGTTAAACTGACTTACTGGTGTTGAGTTTGGATTCTGGGATACAGCTGACATAACTGTTGTTGGTTGTGTTGTTGGTTGGATTACACTGGTAGATGTGGTTTCAGACGGTAATGGTGGGGCTGGCGGTGGTCCTGATGGCGGCAATATAGAGGACGATGTTGTGTTTGTTGACGTTGAGGCTGAATTTCTATTCGAATTAACTGGTGTTCCACCTGCAGGCATGTTGTTACTTGGGCTTGTTGTTGTTGTTGCTGTTGCTCTTGTTCTCATAACAATTTCTGTCTCCGGGATTTTTGGATCGCTCCACCACTTTTTGTACTGTAATTTTTGGTGTTTTGTACAGTACGGGGGTACTTGTAGTTCTTTCTTTCACTTATTGTTAAACCGAACAACAGAAACGACACTAGGTCTTTGGTTGCTGGCTGAAATGTATAAGTAAAACTTTTATAAGTTCAAATACTTTATTCTGGATGCGCACATAAAATCAGTGCGGCATCCAGGGACGCATAGCTTTTTATACCAGATTAAGAATTAAAACATTTGACCAATGAAATAAAAGAATCTTAATTGTTTCCAAGACAAAGTATATTTTTATCGTGTCAGTAAATAATTTAAACTCTCAATCCCCTAAAGGTATGGCCTGAGCTTATGGTTATGTAACACAATGGGACTTAATTGTCTGTTTCCTTATTATCAGGTCTTACAAAAATGAAAGAGATAAATAGATTTATTAATCCCTTTTGTTCTTTTTGACCAAAAGCTTTTTACACTTTGTTACAAACAAGAATTTGAGCTATTAAAATGATTTATAGAATTTTGACTATTAATAAAAAAAGAAATATAATATTTTCATTAATCAAATTTTAGAAAGATATAAATTTCAAAGCTAAATTATGAGAAACAATTTCTTGATGAAATTGTTATTTACTGGATTATAAACTATAAAACTTTATTTACAAAATGTACAAATACACACTATGACACAAGTCTCCCACCTGGCTGAGAAAAAAATCATAGCCCGATGCGGCTTCTCCGAAGCAGGGGCTTAAACTTTTTGTCCAAGCCTCCTACCAGGCTGAGAAAATTTCATAGGCCGATGCGGCTTCTCCGAAGCAGGGGCTTAAACTTTTTGTCCAAGCCTCCTACCTGGCTGAGAAAATTTCATAGGCCGATGCGGCTTCTCCGAAGCAAGAGGCTTAAACTTTTTGTCCAAGCCTCCTACCTGGCTGAGAAAAATTCATAGGCCGATGCGGCTTCTCCGAAGCAAGAGGCTTAAACTTTTTGTCCAAGCCTCCTACCAGGCTGAGAAAATTTCATAGGCCGATGCGGCTTCTCCAAAGCAAGAGGCTTAAACTTTTCGTCTAAGCCTCCTACCTGGCTGAGAAAAATTCATAGGCCGATGCGGCTTCTCCGAAGCAAGAGGCTTAAACTTTTTGTCCAAGCCTCCTACCTGGCTGAGAAAATTTCATAGGCCGATGCGGCTTCTCCGAAGCAAGAGGCTTAAACTTTTTGTCCAAGCCTCCAACCTGGCTGAGAAAAATTCATAGGCCGATGCGGCTTCTCCGAAGCAAGAGGCTTAAACTTTTTGTCCAAGCCTCCTACCTGGCTGAGAAAATTTCATAGGCCGATGTGGCTTCTCCGAAGCAAGAGGCTTAAACTTTTTGTCCAAGCCTCCAACCTGGCTGAGAAAAATTCATAGGCCGATGCGGCTTCTCCGAAGCAAGAGGCTTAAACTTTTTGTCCAAGCCTCCTACCTGGCTGAGAAATATTCATAGGCCGATGCGGCTTCTCCGAAGTAAGAGGCTTAAACTTTTTGTCCAAGCCTCCGACCTGGCTGAGAAAAATTCATAGGCCGATGCGGCTTCTCCGAAGCAGGGGCTTAAACTGTTTGTCCAAGCCTCCTACCTGGCTGAGAAAAATTCATTGGCCGATGCGCCTTCTCCGAAGCAGGGGCTTAAACTTTTTGTCCAAGCCTCCTACCTGGCTGAGAAAATTTCATAGGCCGATGCGGCTTCTCCGAAGCAGGGGCTTAAACTTTTTGTCCAAGCCTCCTACCAGGCTGAGAATAATTCATAGGCCGATGCGGCTTCTCCGAAGCAAGAGGCTTAAACTTTTTGTCCAAGCCTCCTACCTGGCTGATTAAAATTCATAGGCCGATGCGGCTTCTCCGAAGTAAGAGGCTTAAACTTTTTGTCCAAGCCTCCTACCTGGCTGAGAAAATTTCATAGGCCAATGCGGCTCCTCCGAAGCAAGAGTCTTAAACTTTTTGTCCAAGCCTCCTACTAGGCTGAGAAAACTTCATAGGCCGATGCGGCTTCTCCGAAGCAAGAGGCTTAAACTTTTTGTCCAAGCCTCCTACCAGGCTGAGAAAATTTCATAGGCCGATGCGGCTTCTCCGAAGCAAGAGGCTTAAACTTTTTGTCCAAGCCTCCAACCAGGCTGAGAAAATTTCATAGGCCGATGCGGCTTCTCCGAAGCAAGAGGCTTAACTTTTTTGTCCAAGCCTCTTACCTGGCTGAGAAAAATTCATAGGCCGATGCGGCTTCTCTGAAGCATGAGGCTTAAACTTTTTGTCCAAGCCTCCTACCAGGCTGAGAAAAATTCATAGGCCGATGCGGCTTCTCCGAAGCAAGAGGCTTAAACTTTTTGTCCAAGCCTCCTACCTGGCTGAGAAAATTTCATAGGCCGATGCGGCTTCTCCGAAGCAGGGGATTAAACTGTTTGTCCAAGCCTCCGACCTGGCTGAGAAAAATTCATAGGCCGATGCGGCTTCTCCGAAGCAGGGGATTAAACTGTTTGTCCAAGCCTCCTACCTGGCTGAGAAAAATTCATAGGCCGATGCGGCTTCTCCGAAGCAGGGGCTTAAACTTTTTGTCCAAGCCTCCTACCAGGCTGAGAAAATTTCATAGGCCAATGCGGCTTCTCCGAAGCAGGGGCTTAAACTTTTTGTCCAAGCCTCCTACCAGGCTGAGAAAAATTCATAGGCCGATGCGGCTTCTCCGAAGCAAAAGGCTTAAACTTTTTGTCCAAGCCTCCTACCTGGCTGAGAAAAATTCATAGGCCGATGCGGCTTCTCCGAAGCAGGGGCTTAAACTTTTTGTCCAAGCCTCCCACCTGGCTGAGAAAAATTCATAGGCCGATGCGGCTTCTCCGAAGCAGGGGCTTAAACTTTTTGTCCAAGCCTCCTACCAGGCTGAGAAAATTTCATAGGCCGATGCGGCTTCTCCGAAGCAAGAGGCTTAAACTTTTTGTCCAAGCCTCCAACCAGGCTGAGAAAATTTCATAGGCCGATGCGGCTTCTCCGAAGCAAGAGGCTTAAACTTTTTGTCCAAGCCTCCAACCAGGCTGAGAAAATTTCATAGGCCGATGCGGCTTCTCCGAAGCAAGAGGCTTAAACTTTTTGTCCAAGCCTCCTACCAGGCTGAGAAAATTTCATAGGCCGATGCGGCTTCTCCGAAGCAAGAAAGAGGCTTAAACTTTTTGTCCAAGCCTCTTACCTGGCTGAGAAAAATTCATAGGCCGATGCGGCTTCTCCGAAGCATGAGGCTTAAACTTTTTGTCCAAGCCTCCTACCAGGCTGAGAAAAATTCATAGGCCGATGCGGCTTCTCCGAAGCAGGGGATTAAACTGTTTGTCCAAGCCTCCTACCTGGCTGAGAAAAATTCATAGGCCGATGCGGCTTCTCCGAAGCAGGGGCTTAAACTTTTTGTCCAAGCCTCCTACCAGGCTGAGAAAATTTCATAGGCCGATGCGGCTTCTCCGAAGCAGGGGCTTAAACTTTTTGTCCAAGCCTCCTACCAGGCTGAGAAAAATTCATAGGCCGATGCGGCTTCTCCGAAGCAAAAGGCTTAAACTTTTTGTCCAAGCCTCCTACCTGGCTGAGAAAAATTCATAGGCCGATGCGGCTTCTCCGAAGCAGGGGCTTAAACTTTTTGTCCAAGCCTCCCACCTGGCTGAGAAAAATTCATAGGCCGATGCGGCTTCTCCGAAGCAGGGGCTTAAACTTTTTGTCCAAGCCTCCTACCAGGCTGAGAAAATTTCATAGGCCGATGCGGCTTCTCCGAAGCAAGAGGCTTAAACTTTTTGTCCAAGCCTCCAACCAGGCTGAGAAAATTTCATAGGCCGATGCGGCTTCTCCGAAGCAAGAGGCTTAAACTTTTTGTCCAAGCCTCCTACCAGGCTGAGAAAATTTCATAGGCCGATGCGGCTTCTCCGAAGCAAGAGGCTTAAACTTTTTGTCCAAGCCTCCTACCAGGCTGAGAAAATTTCATAGGCCGATGCGGCTTCTCCGAAGCAAGAAAGAGGCTTAAACTTTTTGTCCAAGCCTCTTACCTGGCTGAGAAAAATTCATAGGCCGATGCGGCTTCTCCGAAGCATGAGGCTTAAACTTTTTGTCCAAGCCTCCTACCAGGCTGAGAAAAATTCATAGGCCGATGCGGCTTCTCCGAAGCAAGAGGCTTAAACTTTTTGTCCAAGCCTCCTACCAGGCTGAGAAAATTTCATAGGCCGATGCGGCTTCTCCGAAGCAAGAGGCTTAAACTTTTTGTCCAAGCCTCCTACCTGGCTGAGAAAAATTCATAGGCCCATGCGGCTTCTCCGAAGCATGAGGCTTAAACTTTTTGTCCAAGCCTCCTACCAGGCTGAGAAAAATTCATAGGCCGATGCGGCTTCTCCGAAGCAAGAGGCTTAAACTTTTTGTCCAAGCCTCCTACCAGGCTGAGAAAATTTCATAGGCCGATGCGGCTTCTCCGAAGCAAGAGGCTTAAACTTTTTGTCCAAGCCTCCTACCTGGCTGAGAAAAATTCATAGGCCCATGCGGCTTCTCCGAAGCAAGAGGCTTAAACTTTTTGTCCAAGCCTCCTACCTGGCTGAGAAAAATTCATAGGCCCATACGGCTTCTCCGAAGCAAAAGGCTAAAACATTTTGTCCAAGCCTCCTACCAGGCTGAGAAAATTTCATAGGCCGATGCGGCTACTCCGAAGCAAGAGGCTTAAACTTTTCGTCCAAGCCTCCTACCAGGCTGAGAAAATTTCATAGGCCGATGCGGCTTCTCCGAAGCAAGAGGCTTAAACTTTTCGTCCAAGCCTCCTACCTGGCTGAGAAAAATTCATAGGCCGATGCGGCTTCTCCGAAGCAAGAGGCTTAAACTTTTTGTCCAAGCCTCCTACCAGGCTGAGAAAATTTCATAGGCCGATGCGGCTTCTCCGATGCAAGAGGCTAAAACTTTTTGTCCAAGCCTCCTACCAGGCTGAGAAAATTTCATAGGCCGATGCGGCTTCTCCGAAGCAAGAAAGAGGCTTAAACTTTTTGTCCAAGCCTCTTACCTGGCTGAGAAAAATTCATAGGCCGATGCGGCTTCTCCGAAGCATGAGGCTTAAACTTTTTGTCCAAGCCTCCTACCAGGCTGAGAAAAATTCATAGGCCGATGCGGCTTCTCCGAAGCAAGAGGCTTAAACTTTTTGTCCAAGCCTCCTACCTGGCTGAGAAAATTTCATAGGCCGATGCGGCTTCTCCGAAGCAAGAGGCTTAAACTTTTTGTCCAAGCCTCCGACCAGGCTGAGAAAATTTCATAGGCCGATGCGGCTTCTCCGAAGCAAGAGGCTTAAACTTTTTGTCCAAGCCTCCGACCTGGCTGAGAAAAATTCATAGGCCGATGCGGCTTCTCCGAAGCAGGGGCTTAAACTTTTTATCCAAGCCTCCTACCTGGCTGAGAAAAATTCAAAGGCCGATACGGCTTCTCCGAAGCAAGAGGCTAAACTTTTTCTCCAAGCCTCCTACCTGGCTGAGAAAATTTCATAGGCCGATGCGGCTTCTCCGAAGCAAGAGGCTTAAACTTTTTGTCCAAGCCTCCAACCTGGCTGAGAAAAATTCATAGGCCGATGCGGCTTCTCCGAAGCAAGAGGCTTAAACTTTTTGTCCAAGCCTCCTACCAGGCTGAGAAAATTTCATAGGCCGATGCAGCTTCTCCGAAGCAAG